TTGAATCCCGGGAAAACCGAGAAGATTCAGCCAGACAACGCACATTAGTTTGCCTGTAAATAAAAAACAAGAGTGACGGATACAGAATTGTATCTATGCCTATCTATGTGATTTCAAATAGGTTGTTTGGTTATTACCGCTATATTTATATATCTATCTTTATGTGATTCTTAATTAATTTTATCGCAAACCGTCTCTCGATAATCGCCGTGGCAAGGCAATAAAACTTGCCACAGATTTCTCGATGGTCGTTAGAACATACGTGGATAGACTTTTAATACGTAGCCTGTTTATTTGAAAACCGGATCTGTGCTTCATTTTTTACCTTGAACTTTTAACTATGCTATCTCTGTTTAAAATAATTCACTTACATTTTCATCGCCCTTTTGATATTTCCATTTCAAAATGTATATCAACGCTAAAGCTAAAATTAAGCAGAATAAATGAATATAGGTCACGATTCTCGTTTGAATAACATCAAATTACACTTGAAATATTTTGCAAAAAGCTGCGTGTATTTTGCTCAAAGCGAAAATGATGAAAACAAAAAAGTGAAAAGCTCTTGTATAGCTTAGTCAAATACCTCTGAACTCTAGAGAGGCGTTCATCAGGCTAAGTGACGACTCTGTCATTGCTGCCTTTGTAACGACTGAGGTGCGGAAATGCTTAACGAAAAGAACAACGTTCCATGCCATATGGGGTATATACTAGACTAAAATGAAAAAGGAAACGGGCTCGTTGGTAATAATATATGGTTAATAATCAACGGGTCGTGGAATTGATCCCCATCGGGTCCAATCTATGAAAGTCTAGATATCAATGGGTGCTAGAAATATCGACATTTCGTACGGCACACGAACCGCCGTTCACAGATGAATCAGCGGTGAATCGCGTTTCGGTTTCAGTCTGTGGATTCCTAAATATCCAAAGCCACAATAGGTCGACAGCACAACTTGCATAGATGATATATGGCTGGGTATTTTACCTATCATGAAGTGGTCTCCATGCTTGTCTTTCCTCCTCTATCATAAAAAATCTAAATAATTCCGGTGACTGAACGCGGGTCTGCCCCACAGGGTTTCACTTTCCTAGAAAGTTATCAATGTAAATTGACTTATCTATCGGTAATAAACACTCGATGTTATCTTTTCTTTAATACCGCATATAAATAATCCATGACATGATTCCAATTATCAGATAAGACTTATAAAACATTGGATATTCTTTGTATTTTCCTTCTTTATCTAGAATTTTGTGAGGCATTAGTCACTATTCATGTGAGTGACAAATATTTACGAATCGAGAACTGGTTGTTGTCCTTCACCTGGCAATAGATTGTTACCGCCTTTCACTGATGACGTTATTGTTACTACAAATTTTAAAGCGATCGAAGCATAACCTAATTAACAATGCTCCTTAAAATATTACGTCGTCATTCAATTTTTTTTTTTATTATAGAGGAGGACAGTATGGGTTTCATTTCAAATTCAAATTCAAAACGTTTAGTGCCATAATAAGATATTTACAAACTTATAACTAAATTGTGTGCATAAAAATAATAATAATATAGTAATAAATACATATAAGATATGGCAATCGGTACCAGTCTCAGCTACGCTGATGAATGCTTGTCAAACCCAAGAGCGCTGGTTTTCAGACCGGTTCACTTGATGGTAGGTTAAATAGTCCAGCCTACAGCATTTAAAAAATATGAGCTTTCGACTTATTTTGGCTTTTTCATCTGTGGACGGTGGTGCCTGACGTGCGGAAATTCGATATTCCTACCAGCCATTTAATATCCAGATTTCCAGACGAAATCCAACATGTATCAGAAGAATTATAAAATCATTAGAAAAATGTTGGACCCAGTGGGGATCGAACCCATGTCCCGTTGATTGTTAACTGTACATTGCTATCATTACACCAACGACCCCTCAAAAATATATATAGCAAGAACTTTAATATATTCAAAGTAAATCATTAAAAATCTTCGAACATCTACCTACTGGTATTTTTATTCTGAAATTTTGCACTTCGTATTTCTAAATTAATTCGCTCTCAACGCGAAACAAAAGTAGCGTGAAACACTCTAAACCCTAATTATATAGCAGTCATTGAAGTTTTCAAATAGACCTTCAAGTACATACTTGATTTATTCAAGCATGTGACGTGTTTCACTTTCAAATTATTTTAGTCGTACAAAACCAGTTAACTTCGAAGATTGCCCATTATTTACGCTTGAATGCAAGCAAATTGTTGTTGCATTGACATTTTGAAATTTACAAATTGTATTCATTGTTGCGTTTTATAGCATGCTTATTCATATTATGCTTTGCGAAACTATGATTAAAAATTATTTGTATATTACATGCCTTTGCATGTAATATAAGTAGTTTCATCGCAAAACCTAAGTTGCACGTGCTCCCTATGTAGCTAGTTACAAAGTATCCTAGCTCAGACAGGACGCAAGTTATCGATCCGCTGCACCGCTCACAAAGGGCTGCTGATGCCTCCGTTCACCCCACTACTACCTCTTCAGCCCCCTTCACACGCCCACTTTGCCCCCTGAAATGGTTTTGAAACTGCGCGACGCATATAGCAACAGGCTGCAACTGCGCGAGCTATCAGTAAATACAATAATCGATATAGGTTGTTGTCGTTATTTTTAGCTCTCTGCAGCATTCGAACGACAATTTCGTTCCGTCATGCATATCCCGTATGGTCTAGTGGCTAGGATACCTGGCTTTCACCCAGGAGGCTCGGGTTCGATTCCCGGTACGGGAAAATCTTTTTGTTATTTTTTTATGCTCCTTAGCATTATAATATTTTTTATAAGATTTAAATAAATAATTGAAGAAGGGTACAAAGTAATTTAAGTAATTTTATTATTTGTTAATTAATGAATTTTTATGATAATTTAAAATTAATGATTCAGCGTTTCAGTTCTGTAAGCTGTCTAAATAAATAAAAAAAGTTAACTAATTAATATAATGTTTATATAATATTTTTACATTTATAGTACAATTGTGATTTGCAGTTCCAGTTTTTATTTGCAGTTCACATAGTAAAATATAATGTAAACTGGTAACGCTTTGTTCCAGTCCCTAAAACAATTAATATTACTATTATCTGTTTAAATAGGACAATGTTCGCGTGACTCTGATTAGTATTTTGCTAATGAGTAAAGAAGTATTTCTCTCTAGTTCTAGTTTAATATTCGTAACTTTGTTACCAATAATGATGTGTATTTCAAACCCCAATAATATAACATTCGTAAAAACCTTGCCCTCAATAAACTGCTAAAACTAAATGCAAGTGTGAAATATAAATAAATTTCAAATAATTAAACGGTTTAAACCATGACCACATCAAGGTTTTAGCGATTACACACGTTTTACTGATTCAGGCTAACACAGTACGATAACTATTATATATAAAGTGAATGTGCTTGTAAAAAATTACCTGTTTACCATTAATAGTTTTATAAACATGGATTCCGGGTGAAATGTATTAATACGATTAATTTATATTAATTCATTGTAGGAAAGCATTACAATTTTATTGACGTAAGTAGACCAAATCCTGTCACTAGTTTACACAAAAAATTGCTACAATTGTTACAATAAAACACACTAAAGCGCGAAAAAGTTAGTAAACTTCACAAATGTTTTTAACAACGGCCTGACCATGGCCAGACTAATACATATTGTATAGTTAAAATAATTAGTAAAGTGTAACTTAGTCATAATGCGTTTAAAACCGTTAAAAGCGTTTTATTTAAGTAGGTAAAATATTTAATAAAACAATTTTCTCTCCAGATTATAGTATGTATTATAACAATGTTACAAGTACTTTTATTATTGGCCTTTAAAATTTCAGCTTTCTTATCTAAGAATAAGAAAAAGTACGAATAATTCTTATTAGTAAATTTTATAGCTTCCGAAACAAACAAAAGACGAATTCCCATTACTTATCAGATCTAGAAAAATGACCTGTGATTATTAAACTAATTAACCCCTATTTCGTAACGCGTGCATACTAGGACAACATAACAATGGTGGCTGTTACTCGCATGCCCAACAGTGCGGCACGGCCAAGGTTTGCTCACGCGACCACCGAAGCAAGTGATATTACCGTAATGTTAATTGCTAATAATGACACAATGGTCATTATCAAGAACATAACAATCATTGTAGTTGCTGGGAAATTAAACATGTAAAATAATTTTATAGTTTTTTGCTTTTTCCGAGACTTACAACTCTATATGCTCCTACTGCCATATACTTCTATATTATACTAAAACTTTATTTAATTATTTGATGCTTTAAAGGGCATATTCATTGGGTACTTCTTGTCTTTTTCCGTTGTATATTATTATAGAATAAAAAAAATGCGGCGGGCTCGTCCGGGATTTGAACCCGGGACCTCTCGCACCCTAAGCGAAAATCATACCCCTAGACCAACGAGCCGCTTACCAGTGCGACAAAATAACTCGTGAAGTCAAAAATACATAAGCATGTTTTGAATTATGATTTTGCTTTGGAAATATGTAAAATAAAGTCAAATTTATCTGCCCCACGTTGGGGCAATCATTCAATTGGCAAATTTTTAGCTTATTTTCATATTTATGTTTTGCAATAACATGACAATTCGTTTTATATGTAGTATTATCTTATAAATAAAAGAATTCAAGCTAACGTAATGCAGTGACAGCTGATAAAAGTGCCTCGGAAACCGTTGGCTGTACCGCTAGGCCTGTTTTTCTAAACGGTAATCACGGCAGCTTCTTTTATAGTGCTCGGTGAACAAAAACAAGTATAAACTAATGATTCAGGCCTATTCTATAAAAAAACAATTAATAATGCACGAAGAATCGATACGTCTCTATATAGATTTAATACAAACAAGGTGTCAACAGTCAACCAAATGTACAAACCAACGTTTGCAATGTTATTTCTGTTTAGAAATTGACAATTCATTTCTCTTTTCTTTAATTCCAGGTATAGTGTCGGTGTCGGATGGTCATATAGAAATAGAGCCACTACAGGAGAATTGGAAACCGCTGCTGGTGCACTATGCTGGCCCCGTTTCTGTGGTTATCATCGTTGGATTGTTGGTTGCTATTCTTCCGCTTACGGGGTTAGTTATCAAGTTGTATGTAATGTTTATGACGTGAGAAAAACGGTCGAAGTCCTATAAAATCGAATGTACTGTTGACCAATTATGTTTTGGGGCACCACTCGTTTTTGTTTTTAATTTTTTTAAAAAAAATATTTTAACCAAAAATTTTAAAGGAACCCCCGCGCCCCCCCCCCCCCCCCCCCCCTTGTTTTTTTTTTTTTTCCCCCCCCCTTTTTTTTTTTTTTTTTTTTTTTGGGGGTTGTTTTTTTCTTTTTTTTTTTGGGGGGGGGGTTCCTTTTTTTTTTTTTTTTTTTTTTTTTTTTTTTTGTAGTTGATTAGACTTCAGTCGTCATCGTTTCCCTAGAATTCGAACCCAGGACTTTTCGCGCTTAACGCAATGACAGGCAACACGTTAAACCGTGTAGCTGCAGAGACGGTCACTAACTATATTTATTAAAGTGTAACACGTTCAGATTTTATCCATTATTATGTAACTCAAATTTATACATTCTGTATCTTCGAAAAAAGATATTTATTACATAGAGTGACGAACTCTCAATATTACGAACATGACCGAATGGAACCTACTAAAATTTATTAAAGAGTTCGTAACTATCTATTGTATTCAGATACTATAAGTAAACATTTAATATTCCAGGCTTTTTTGGTGCTGTTGTCAATGGTGCAAGTCGGGTCGGCGCAGGAGACCATTCGATCGGAAATACGACGCTTGCCTCAAGGGGATACTCGCTATTGTTCTCATCGCTCTTCTTACACTATTCTTGTAAGCTTCGTTATTAGTGCTATGTTGTATTTAAATGAAAAATATTAATGAGACCACGACTAGTGAAAAGTATCGTCAGGTTGAGTAAACTACAAAAAATGTCGCCCCTTTACTTCGTGAAGGTTGTATAAGTATTTTACCTTAATAGTTCGAGACACAGATGAGATTCTAACCCAAGCTGCTTTGTCGCCGCCTGCGTTCACCGAAAATGTCAATCATTTTGAGTAGAATCGTATAATATCGAGCCTATACGCGTTGATCTATGCTTCAAGTATTCGAACCTTGTTAAGTTTAACAGTATTTCATATAAACGATGTCTTATTCTTTTAACACTTAGAACTAGTAAAGAATCCTTATAAACTTCCGCCAAGAAAAAGATTATAGTCACGCCTTATATCATTGACAGTTGGCGTAACTTCCTAGGTTTGCGGTTTTTCCGCAAATCCTATAAAAATGTCACTATATATGAGATTATAATTCGATGTGAGTATGGTTTCCTTAAATGAAACCAGGGCGACCTTGAAACAGGTTAATCCTCTAATTTCGTGTATAAGCAGTGCCAATGTCTTATATTTTTAACGTGTTATATTATCAACTAAATACATATTTATACAATACATATGCATATAAGTATTTAACTTACCGACAAGCAGAGCATTGCTTATTTATTGCTAATTAATATGGAGGATAAAAATATAAATTATAACTAAAGAGAAATTAATTAAATGTCCAAGAGGAAAAATCGCACGCTTAGTATTAGAGTGACCTAACTCAAAATTTAAGTAAAATTAGCTATAAATGCACTGACATTACTATAATAACGCCATCAACAAGTTTGATACGATTTGCCAAAAAAGTGTTTTTTTTTTTTAATATCGGTCACTGTAATACTACTAAGCGTGCGATATGTAAATATTTTTTTTGTTAAATAATTATATTGCACATCTTTATTTTTATTTATAGGTTCGGTGTAGTGAGTGCCTTCGCGACGGATTCTCAAATAGATACTGGCTCCGGGAACATAGTGAAAACCGTTCAAGCGAGCACTCGCGATCTTAGAGAGTTCTTAAACGCGACGCAGGCGCATTCTAGGCATCTCCTAGTCACCAATTATGAAGAACTAGAGGCTGAACTTAATGAAATGCTCACTAGTAAGAGTTATGTTTTTGTATGTATTTATAAAAAAACCTAATGAGACTTGTTTGCTTGAAATTTTCCTAGAGGTGAAACCAGTGCTTACAAAACGTTATATTGTTGATTTAGTTTTTTGTTAAACTTAATAGTGTCATAGTTATTTCAAAAACATCTATAGCTTTGCTGTTATAGAGTTTTAAAGAAACTGAAAGCATAATGATGTCTATAATGTCATTGCTGTATTTAAATAAAACACTTTAACGGTTTAAAACGCGATATTTATTACTTTAACTTATTTGAAAATAATTTAAATTACGGCCCGACGTATCGGATGCGACAATATTTAACATTACTGTATTGTTAATTCACCAGGTAGCGGCCAAACAGTGCTAAAGGTTTTGGACGATTTTACAAGTGCTACGTCTGTGCAAAAGTTGAACGGTATGGTTCAGCAATTGGATAGGGTGCCGGACGATTTACGAACTGTGCAGAAGTCAACCGCAGCGCTGAGAACTAAGGCGGAAGAACTTGACGCTGGTAAGTTTGTTTTAAATATAAATAAAAACTGGCTTAAATTACGAAAATAATAAGGTAGTGATTTTATTTACCTAGATTCATTTCTATTTCATTAAAACTGACAGCTAGAACTCTATATGTATTAAAGGTAAAATACTTTATATTTTAAGGTTTACGTCGAGTCAAAGCGCTTTTGCATCGAACGCTCGTCGCCTGTCAAGAGAAGGAATGCATCAAATTGCAAGAGAAATACCGCCTGGGACAGCTGGGGACAGAGATACAGTACAATATGGTAATTATTATTTGCCTTTATAACAACAACAACAATCTATATTAAAACAATGATATAAGTGGGACTCAAACCTACAATCACTTTAAGAACGGGCTCTGTCTGCTGAACGACTATGATTTAAATTTGACCTAATTACTATTTAAACTTTATAAAGCTTTCATTTTTTAAAAGTAATATTTGTCTGCGATTCCATGTTTTGACGGTAGTTTGTATTTTCAACTATGCACATTTTGTTATAACCGCCTTTGTTTTTACACGCACACATCGGTACAGATGCTCGACAAATATTTTCCGACGGTAAGATATACTTTGGAGTTGTGTAGTTCGATGGTCTGATTAGATTTTGCGCTGTTGATAACATTTATTGGATTCTATTTTAGTAATGATAACGTTAAATAATTTAATCTGTCTACTCTTCCTTAAAACCAAGTTGTATCAAATAGATTTTAATCTTAACTAAGACTTAAATCGATTTTTAACATATATAGTGCCATCATGTGCAAATATAAAACTTGTTAAAAATGTAGTGTCAACAAAAAAAAATGTTCCTATATGCTCGCTACGACTGTATTATGCTCATTGCAACTTTTTTAATTACTACCTTTCGTGTAGATACCGGACGTAACAGATCTGTTGGGGAATGTCAGCGCTCTGCTGGAGAGTAACATCAAGGAAGAAGTCGCTGCTGGTCTCGAGGTGTTCAGTGGAATCAAACAGACGGTAGACCAACATATCCCGCGGGTGCAAGAAGCGATCACTGACACCGGTATAATAGACCAAACTAGTTAACAAATACAAAACTCGCCAAGATTCCTACCATCTATAGAAATGGCAAAAAAGTAAAGCTAAAATGAAACATTTAACATGCATATTAGTTAACCGTCGGTTAACTTATTTGGAAATTATTTTAACGTCGGGCCGTCGCGTCGTTAAAATAATTTCCAAATAAGTTTAACTAATATACATCGCGTTTTAAACCGTTAACCGGATTTTATTTAAATGTTTACTACTCGTCTAAACTACAAATAGTATTTAGTAAAGCTTCCTTTATTTTAATCCTTTTTTTATTTTAATATTTTTTATGATAGTGGAGGATAGACGGAACACTTGGTGGAAGGTGAAATACAAATTGGTTATATTAAATATATATAAAAACGATATATTATGTATATGCTTGAATGGAAAATCCTATTTTTTGTGACGTCCGAAAAATCCCGTCATTGCGGTACCCCCCTTAAATATTAGTAATATTTTTGTGACAAAGCATTCAGTCCTACTATTAGTAGTTTTATACACGTACGGATAGCGGGGTCATACCCTGCTATAATGTTATTTTTTTATTATTCTCGAACAATTTTTTTGCAGGACGTCGCCTAGCAACCGTCGCTGATGAAATAACTTACAGATCGGGTAACTTGAGTGAAAAACTAGCCCACGTAAATGTCGAGTCTGGCGACATAGAGCGGAACTGGACTTATCGCAAGTACATTTCGAAGGCTGCCGCCGCCGTGCTGCTTATTGTAAGTGCAAATTAATATTACTAAAGAGGAATTTAATAAGATATTGCATATTTTTATTAATTTCGTTAAAATTTTAGCAATCGTTTTTTTGACTTAGGTCTGCCGTCGCTTCTACTTTGATCAAAAACATCGTTTCTGCTCTACTTTAACATTAAGAATCTTATACTGTCATTTCACAATAAGCTTAGTGCATGTATTGCCTCTAAGCCATTATTATAATTGTTTGCAAAAATGCAACTTTCAAATTAGTTTTCAATTTTTGGTATTTATTTAACAGATAGTGCTAGTTATGTCATGGGGACTGCTCTGTGGAGTTTGCGGCAAGCGACCAGACGTGTACGGCGCTAGTGACTGCTGTAATAAAGGCACTGGTTCGTCTTGTCTGCTTTGGTAGGTAACACAAATAAATATGACAAAGTGTCATTTTAAGAAACGTGTTGGTTTTCATTTATCTATACTAATGTTACAAAGCTGAAGACGTTTGTTTTTTTTTTCTTACGCGCTAATCTTAGGAACTACTGGTTCGAATTTAAAAAACTGTTGCTTATTGTATACAGATTTTGTCGAGGAAGGCTGTAGGCTATGAAACATCTCGTTACGACCAATAAGAACGAAGAAATTATAAAAAAAATGTGGGCAAAATTATTCACCTTTGAGGGTTTCCGTTGCGTGCGAAAACGTTTCATGTTACCCAAAAAATATGTATCAAAGAAAGGTTTCTTAAAATTCTTCCATTGTTTACATATAATCTCTTTGCCAACAGTGGAATTGCAATTACATTGTTCCTCGGTGGATTTGTCGCTATAACGATTCTCCTGTACTTCGTGCTGAGTGTTGCAGCGCAGAGATTTGTGTGTGATCCTCTTACGTAAGTCGAAAGAAACATTTTTTAATTCATATAGAAATCAACCCTATTGAAAGCTAATTGACCTGTTTCTAATTATATATTTAGTGAGCCCCGAGACAGCCGTATATTTGCCGACGTGGAGAAGTTCGTGGACTTGGAATACTATATGTTCAATGAGCGGCGCGATCCAAACTTCAACATCACAGCGGTTATGGTCGACTGCCATCTCAATAAGACTGTGTATGAGGTACGAAATAAGCTTACGAAAACTTTAATATTTTTCACATGTGTATATTGTACATGATGGTACTATATAAATTAAATTAGAGCACAAATGTTTCTTACTTCTAATTATTAACTTTAGCTCATATTTTTGTTATTTTTTTTTATATTCCTGGATCTAAAAATTTTTACTTGGCTATCTGGTATCTAATTTATTAACTATCTTATTATAATAGCTGTAAATCTTTTCTATGTGAATAAATTAATAAATATTAATATTTCTAGGCGTTCCACATGAACCGTCTCTATGACCTGGAAGCGGTTAAGCAGTCCGTGGAAGAGGAACTCGGCCGTCGCGTGTCTTCACTTCGCACTGACTATCCTCCTCGTGGTCGTCCACTGCGCATTCTCAAGCCAGCCGCACGTGCCAAACTAGATCAACTTGCGAATACCGGCCTTTCCGATTTCAACTTCGATAAGATACTCGAGGCAGTAAGTCTTTACAACCATGTTCAATTGAAAAGTATACATTATAGTATATGCAAATGGCATTTGTAAATTTAGCACTATGTACTATTATAATTGGGCTATTAAGAAAAATAATTTAAAAATGTATATATTTCTTCCAATTATAAGAACAATAGAAAAAAAATATATGATGTTAGGCTCTAAAAACTTTCATGTGGTTTACATTAATTATACATTAGCCACAATAAAGTTAATTGAAAAAATCAAATGAAAATCTATTCTGTGTGTGTAAGTAAAAAAATAACTTTTGACTTCGCCATTTTATATCACGTCAGCAATGCGAATTCTACTATTTACTTTAGCTAAAACTATATTAAAATGGTTTTACAGTTAGAGACGAACATCACATCCCTGCCGCTAGAGGCGTTGTCGTCGCAACTTCAGTCCACCGCGCGTTCATTGACTGGTCGCGCTGGGTATGTGGAAGTGGCCCAAAGTCTCCGTCATGCTGCGGAACAGCTAGATCAACTGCAGAGGGATGTCGTAGTGCCCATGATTATGCACACGGCACAGCTTAACGTAAGAAGTTATTGTTATTTTATCGTGGAAAATTAGAAAACCCTAAAATTTTATGATTTTATTGTATGAATAATTGTTGAAATTGGAAGATATCTTTTAAAAACATCACTTCAAATAGAAAAAAAATACGGCACTAGCAGGACTTGAACCGGCATCCAGAGCGTTTCGTGCTGTTGCTCTAACTAATTCAGCTACCGTTTCAACATAGATGTCTCTTGGATATTTTCACGCGCACCATCCGATTTAGAGATGAACATGATGTCACAAATTTTACAACACCGTACAGTAGCAGACCATAACTATGGTCTTCATGGGGGGGGTCATCAAAATTGTAATATAATGAAAGCTATTGATTTGTTTTTATTTGAGTTTATTTTTATAATACCTTCTATAATTACAGACTACAGCAACTGAACTACGAGATGTGCTCCGTTTCAATCAATCATCGTTAAAAGAGGCCATACAGTATCGAATCAGAGATACGACAGAAGTCGAGTTGTTCCTAAATACACAGGGGCCCGATTTGGTTCAAAATGTGAGTTGAACAGAACTTAAACCTTAATAAAAATGTTTATCCTAGTTGTGCAAAACCAGGGAAAGGATTTAATCAGTCTGTGATAGTGTACCTTATTAAATTTGAGAATAAAGGCATGTATGTAATGAAAAAAAAAAAATAGTTACTGTGAGTAAAATGAACGCTGTTAGTAGTTCCATTATCAATAACTAGCTAGGTCAGCTAGTTTTTTTATAATGGAATAATGGCCAACGTTCTTTTACCATATTTCGATTAAATTTGATCACCATTAAAACGTTTTTCGTCATCTTTAAATGATAGATATATACTGTGATGGGATCTTTTTAGATTTTTAAAACAAGAATAAATATTTCATACATTATTTAGATTCAAAACACACACACAACGGATTCCCTCGAAGATGAATAAATTTTCCCGTTTTTTCCCCCACTGTTTCTTTGCTCTTATTTGTCACAGCCAGTTTTATAGACTTTTTTGATAAATAGCCCAACGTAGTCCTATATATTCTTCAATTCCTGAAGTTAGCGCGTTCAAACTCTTCAGCTTTATAACATTAGTTAGACGAATAAAAATAACAATATTATACGATATATTCCAGCTGACTCGCGAATTTGCTGAAGTCGTCGGTGAGCGGTTACAGGAATATCTCTCGTTGGTCGTGGTTGCTGCGCGCACGCAAGTTGGTCACTGTGAACCCGTATCCAATGCGTTCAATGCCACGCGCGATGCAGCCTGCCGTGCCGTTCTTATGCCTGCAGTACGTACATCTATATATTTATGTAGTATACAATTGTTTTAGCTTTTATGATAGAAGGGGACAGATATGCGGAAATCCATAGACTGAAATCGAAACGCGATTAAACTTCACGGCTTTTTCATTTGTGGACGGTGTTTTTTGACTCGGATGGAACATGGATATAGCTACCACTCATTTAATATCCAGATTTCCAGACGAAGTCCAACATGTTTAAAAAAAACTATAAATTTAAAAATTAGAAAGATGTCGGACCCGACCATTAGACCGACGAGCCCGTCGGGCTTTGTGTCTGTATTTTGTATTTATCTACTCATCATTTGTCTATAAAATAATATAACATTCGATATTTAACGTTATAAAGTTTTGGAACTACTATTAAGTACGTTTTAAATACTTGAAATCTGTTTATATATGTTTGTTTGATTTTTTTTTCTACTCTACACCTTTTTTTGAATTGGTCTATATATAATTACAGAATGGTTACTGGATTTCCTTGGTATGGTGCGTGTTTCTGTTCGTGCCGCTGCTTGTCGTTGCGCAGCGGTTGTCCCGTCTCTACCGACATCCCGACCCTTATCCAGGACCACTTGTTGAGGCGTACGTATAAAATAATATCAGACACACACTACACACATTACACACAACTGTTTTAGATTTTCATAGAGCTAAGTGCGAGTCGGACTTTTACACTAACAACAAAAAACAAAAATGTCTCTTGTCAGACAATCCCATAATTATATCACAAAAGAAATAAAAGCATTTCTTTAATTAAGTTTTAAGTATTTGCTATAACAACAACAGAAAACATTATCTGTATAATTTACTATCTCAAGTATCACGATTCATGTTTTACACCGACACACTGACAGACAGACGAACAGCGAATCTTAAATATTTTTTTATTATTATACTTTTTAATAGTAAAGACGTTGACCATTTTTTTTAACTTGTGAAAAAAATGTAAAAGCGAAACCATATAGGTTTCAAATCACACAAACATAATTGTAATACAATCAATTTAATTGTCTTGAAGATGTTTTGTAAGTTTTAGCAAGTTTTGAAAAGGAAATAATCACTTAAAATTTTAAGTAACAGAAACTACAGAACAGCTTCAACTATTGTATGAAGTGAAATTAACTACATCTTACTGTCATTGGCAGAAAGACTAGCTTAATTTAGATACAAAATGATAGCACAATTGGTTTTATATTGCATTTTTTGTGCATTGGACGAAAGTGATATTTTTTTATTATTATTAACGATTTAAGGTATCATTCATCTGCCATCATCATCGTTGTTTTATGGAATTTTTCGCAGTTCTTCGTCCCGACAGAATCGCTGCGATCAATTCTTTTATCTTTTCATTTGTTTAGTTTTCATATTATTTTTTATGAGTTCTGACTGATGTTAACCCTTGTTATGAGTTTGTCGATGGTAAATTAATTGCTGTGCACCCTCATCCTAGTAGAGAATGGAACCTTATTTTACACATTCTATATTATTTGAGCCAATTTTAGAGCTCAGTTGCATTCGAGAGAGAGGGAATTGTCTAAACGACTTTGCTATATCATGCCTACCTAAAAGTAATCCCACTCTCTCGTCTTCGCACATCTTGACTCCAGTGTATGGGAGAGTCATGATGCTTCTTTTAATTTCTACATAAAATGTGAGCATGTCATTGTGTGGTTAAAGAGCTGTGATATTTCTGAGTACGGTTTTAACTATTCATGCAAAGATACTGAGTTCAATTCTTCAATTCCATAGTACAGGTAGCATTTGCCCTTTTGTATTGATTTCGTTTTTTTATTTTATACTCACCGCCATAATATGATAATACGTACACATTAAGATCTGATTCTATTATGCCTTCAAAAACGCGCGTGTTCCTTTCTCAATAACCTATATCAGACGACTTTTTATATGATGTAATATTCTTGATCGATCTTATATTATCCTTAGTAAAAAAATAGCGCGTCATTCGATAAACGTAGGACTCGATATTATTTATTTCGTGTCTGACTTACTGGTGTTGTCAGCAGCGAGTACGAGCCCATGTGCCGTAATCGCGGCTGGTGGCGGTGACGCAGCGCCAACTCGGGTAACACTGCACATAAATACCACCGTAATATTATCGAAACAGTAAAATACTCGACAATATTGCTTAAAATTAAGAAAATATCCGGCTTGAAGGACCGATTTTTAAGCGCTTAATTAGTGCTATTTCAAGCAGCGGCTGCATGTGCGTTTACCTAAGTGTCTCGTTCTGGAGTGATTTGTCCTTTTTTATTAATATTAAACTTTTTCAAGATGATAATATAAGATAAGATAATATAGATATATGAGGGTTGTAATGATGTTATAAGTAACATATTACCCAGCCTGTGATATTGAAGATAGTATATATTGTCGGGTAAATAATTACTGTCGTAGCTCGTGTTGTGCGCTCTTTGACCCTACAGTGGCTTGCATTGAATCATAGTTACCCTGGCTCATTGGAAAATATTCCTATTAACCAAAACTAAAATTACAAGAGTAATCACGATAAAACCGCCGTAGTTTTATAAAAAAGTTTTTAGACATTATTCGTTGTCCTGAGTAGTTGTGCCTGAATCCAAGTAATGGTTACATCTAGTCTAGATTTTCGATAGTCCAATGCATGTGTTCCAATGAGCCAATCGACGTCGTTTCATTGTTGTAAAGTTCCCCAATAATTAGACGTATGGGCATGTACCCTGCTACATTGCTTGCGATCCATACATACGGGTTTTATTGCGGTCATACTCCACCCGCAGTGCATCAATACATATGTAAATAATCATGAAGTAGCTGTCCTTGGTATGGATTCGTTAGTTTTGTTTATTTATTTACGTTTCTTCAACTCATTCATAAACACAACTTTTTTATATACTTTAGTGATCTTTTTACAATCTCCACTACATAGAACCAATTATAGATGTGTTATTTGTACGTTATGATATCTCTGATAATTATCTAAAACGTTGAAAGTTCGTAATATTCAGTTTATTTATTTACTTGAACTTGATATTTTTAGTAACTTCTATTTATTATCATTGATGTTAAATTTTCTTCCATTTGCATCAATGTGTCTCGTTTATATAGGTTGCTGTTAAAATATATATTGTAATCTTCTACGATATTCTGTCGATGTACTGTCAAAAGGATATCGACTGATGTGATAGGCTGGGGGTTTTTTCACCCTCCATTAAGTAAACCCCCTGCTTGTCTGTCCCCTTGTAAAGAAAAGCTTAGGTAATAATTAGTGCTTTATCAATTTGATTTTTGAGTTGGCATAGCGCGTGACAACCTCCAGTCAGCCTTGTCTGTTTGTTGCAGCGAATATTTGTATGACGCGTACGCGGACCGCGATAACGTACCCCTTGCCAAGTAAGTGCCCTACACTAGCGAAACGAGTCGTTTTTAGTTTTCACGAAAGTAGTGGGGCGAGGCTTAGAGTAGACAACTAGTGAGCATGACAGTTTTTAAACGATTAACAATGTAGTATTTTGGACTTTTCAGATTCTATTATGGGAGCGAGTATTCATTACATTTTTAATTAATTTCAATATTATTACATTATTTTGGATGTATAAAGTTGTCCCTTAACCTATTTGAAATAGATTAAGATAAACTTTCGTGGAAACTAAAGGCTGCTTTCTACCCCTACCTCTATCCTTCTCCCCTAGCGCATGCGTAGAATTAGTCGCTTCTTAGTGTGCTTTCGTTTTATATTAAGATCAAAAAGAAAAGCGGAGTTCATTACGACGCGTACGAGGGCACACAGGCGATGTTTTCTTATGTAATGGAAATTGGGTGTTTAAAGCACGTGTGATGACTTTTGGTTGAGGAAATAACAATAATACACAAAATGGGTTGATTCAAGATTGAAAATCGCAATATTGCATGTTCGCAATCCATCCTGCATGACCGCCGCATCCGGTTAAGTTACGTTCAGTTACTTTAAGTTGATTTCATTTGATGGTTAGGAACAACGCCATGATCTTACGTACGCGCATGATTGATGGCCGATGACTTATTGCGCATCACAATTTCTGAATATCCAAAGAAAACAGGACGACGCGCATCTTAATTTGATGCTATCGGGCTGGGGAATTTCACCTTCCATCAAGTGAACCCCCCCACGCCTGTCTGTCCTCTGTCGTAAAAGAAACAAATTGGATGCGCAAGTTTGAAATTTGTTTGCGGGGTGCGCAGTGGATCGAAGCGTAGCACGCTGGACATCGAGGGCAAGATCGCTGAATGGCGTGGCAGGAACCGCGCGGCCGGTGACGGTGACGGACCTCTGGTAGACAGCGAAACTGGAGACGCGTCTCCACAATCGAGAACTCAGCTCGTAGTTGGAGGAAGGGGAGAGGTCGTCTGCGCTCTATTACCACCGCCGGCGGCGCTCATTGACGACCTCAAAACGCGTCTGGATGCCAAAGACGAAGACAATGAGTCGGGCATTCACGAATCGGAATAATTCTTCCAATTAAAATTTACGCGTTTGAGTTTTTCTTGTTATTCGATTGTTTAGTAAAACGTGATACGTACAATCTCTTTGATATATTATGTCTATCTGAATTTATTACGAATTAAATTCTTTAAGGTCATTCCACTAGGTGTCTTTATGGTTTTGCTTAGGAGATTAATTATTCGTAAGTTTGTGACTTCCCTAAACATAGTGTTACTTAGGGGTAAGATTTTCCGATGAGCTTTCGCGATGTCCACAACCTTAGATTGCAAATCGACCAATTTTTTGTAGGAATGGTCCGTTTGGTTAGAAGTCTTCCATTTGACAATTGACGCATATCAGTACACGGAAGCGAAAACAATCGACTTTTGAAATAGTTATACATAGTTTAGAACCAGAACGCTTTCTTCACGCGAGATCTGTTGATCTTTCCATGCGAAACATTTTTGCATATGTATTAGCAATAAATATTTTATAACATTTATTGAGGTGTATAAGTGCTTTGTATAAAAATACGTCCAAATATGCTGATTGCTATAAAAGAAAATTTTTGAGCATGACATTGAAAGGGGCCATCTCTGTAATCAATGCAATGAAAAGTCACGAAAAACTAAACAGGTATTCACATATAACATTGCGGAGATAGAGCCTTTTATTCAAATGTTTGCCCAATTACTGGAATTATATACTAATCGCAACGCTTGTACAAGTTTCTAGCTTATTATATATATACATTGATATACCTAAATTTAATAATAATCAACGCAGAATTATTTTCGATTTTATACTCAAAACACTAGATGCGTGTAGATTTTGATACCGTGTTTTGATATAAACTTTTTCCACACAAGTTCTTGTGATTAACTAATATTTAAGGCTTTGAATTAATAAATTACGTGTCATATCATAATTATAGATAAACTATGTTGGTATTGTAGGCTCTAATGAGAATAATATTTGAAACGTCCGTTTTTGATTTCGCTTAGATGTATCTGTGGTATAACCGAGTGGTTATATGCATATGAATTGCTTTAAAATGTTCAGCAGTTTTTACTACTTTAAACTTTGTAAAATTACGTTAATGTTTAATTAGTACTCCATATTTTGGATGCTTCTCCAAAGACGTGGTCACGAGTGGTCGTAGTTTAAATTAATTAATTGAATTCGAATTTTAAAAATTTGAATTGTGATAATGTTGGAGGGTAGGTCAATGTTCATTAGAGCCTACATTACTTATTGCTTGATAATCAAACATTTACAAATAGCTGTATACTCGAATCTCATTTATTCTAATGTGATTGCACTGCAGTGAATTGATAGTTTTCGGATAATCTACATAATGTTTAGATTGTAAATAATTATACTCTTCAAGTACTCTCTCGGTGTTGTCTGTGGCCATATATCATATCCATTAAGTATTGTAAGAATTTATATCATATCATTCGTAAATGTTGTAGAAAATAAACTTTAAGAACATAAAGATGATGTTTCGAAGCCCAAATGTCACTTGGGAGTGGAGTTCGAGCCCCGTTCGGTAACTAACTTCGTGATTTACCTTTTGTGTTTATCTTGCATGTACTATAAGCAGACGTTGGTTGGTGTTACTTTGAGGTTATATATAACAGGGTCTCTTCAAAATGGCTGGGTTTTACCTTGGTTTTTCTAAGTTTCGTACTGTAGTCTAACATTTTTTTTTTCTTCACTATTATAACAGTTTAGTAGGCACGCAGTCTTTATGTAGCATGCATCCCCGCTCTGAGTGTTTGTTTAATTTCAAAGCAGTTTACAGATGGTTTTTTTCTTTTTTCTTTCATCTGAATTCTGTTTTGTTTACTTATAACAACGACAACTTCCGACTAATTCTAACGAGCGAGCCAATGTTATGGTAGCGTAGTCAAGATATATATTTTGTTCTGTGAAACGATAAGAATAATTGTAGATTGAGGTAGAGAACCTGCCCTGATTCATGTCTCGCTCTGTAAGCCATAATATAATATCATACATTATAAAGACACATGAACAATATAATTGTGGCTTAGATTAACGGTGTTAGACAAAGTATTGTTCGGGATATTCTTGTGTCACGAACTGCATGCTATAATATTACAGCATAGTCTGAAAAGAGCCTAATTGACCCGCATTCGCTTGAAACTAGTCGAGAGTGGTCGTGCGTTGCTATGGCGTGCTGTAGCGAGTGTTGCGTTGCAGCGCCTACAAGGCTGAGAAACGAGGAGGTCGAAGCCGACGCGAGGGACGCGATGGACGCGAGGCACGCGATGTTCGCGAGACGCGGGAGGGGAGGGAGGGCCGCAGCAGGGAGGCGGAAGGCGCCGGCATCGCCCTGGCGCCGCCTCTCGACACACACCACGCGCGCAGATATAATGATATGGCGCCAAAGTGAGTGACCATTACCCATTACACCATAATAACAAATAACTAGGAACGACCTTTAATCTATACTAATATATAAAGCTTAAGGGTTTGTTTGAACGCGCTGATCTTAGGAACTACGGTTTGATTTAAAATTGTGTATTTGTTAGAGCATTTATCGAGGAAGTCTTTAGGCTACAAAATCATGAATCGAAGAAATAGTGGGAAATTTTGAAGAAAAGGGGAAATTATTCATCCTTGTGGGTTTCAGTTGCGTACGAAAACTGCTGGATTTTACCGTTGTTCTTCTTCGTTCTTAATTGTTTTATTTATCACAACTCTTGGCTAAGTTGATCTTTAAAACTTGATCTCGTATTCCAGACACTGGGAGGAAGGACTGCCTCGGTACCACGGGCCTACTGAATACGAGCGACCCCCACCATACTACTATCCCGGACCAAAGTAAATATATATCTGTGTATTTCAGGACCATAAAATGAAGAAATAATAATAATTGGTTAAATTACGTATTATATATATATATATGTTTTTTTTATGTTAAAATTCCCTTTCTCTCATTACAGTGATAGACAGTAAAGTAGCGCTCACAGAACTGGACGATGATATACTGAAGTACTAAGTCCCATTTCCTCCACGCAACGTATGTACAACACAACCAGACAATCGTACCCTATAGATATAGCCTCATAGTATTTTTTCATGTCATAGTAATTATTTACCGTTCGGAAATTTCCAGCCGAAACTTCGATGTAAGGAAGACTCCATATTCCATTTCCAGTTGTACAAATTTCTATTATACGTAAATGTCGTACGAATAATTTAATATGAAATTTGTGCATTTTGAATTTAAGGCGTTGTCGGCGTTAAAGTTAACATCCGTTTGATCCATTGTTAACGCTCATCAAAAATAAAATATTTTTCTAGGATTACTTCTGCGTATGTCATCACTATAAATGTTTAGACAACTTATTATAAGTGTAGATAGTCTGTGGACACTTTGACAGTTATATTTTCCTTATAAGACTCATTGGATTCTTGAGTATCCACTTAATTTTACAACTGGCAACATTTTAGACTTTAAAACAGTGTAAACTAAAAAAGAAAAAAATATCATTATGATATTCACTCCATTTAAAGGTAACTCGTGAACGATAGTGTCGTTAAAAAGAGTTTACACTGTATTACAATAAAAATGTGTTAATCATAAGCAGTTCCATTTAAGAATCAAACATTGCCGTTCAAAGCTGTCCATTGACTAATAACGTAAATATTTGATACTTCATAGAATATAAAAGGGGGGATTAAAAGTGTGCTGAAGATGGGATGGAAACGTGTTTGGTCACCGTAACTGCCATATTTTGACTGTCCTGTAATTTTTACACTGATAGCGGATTTATCTTTGTACATGGAGTTTGAACCTGTTTGGTCAGAATGATCACAAATTACCAGAAACTAATCGCGATGAAACACAAGACATTAGCATCATTTAAAACACCAAAAATTTAACAATAATTAATTGTCAGTTTAAAAAAATATTAATATCTGTACTAAGCAACTAAATGAAGCAAGCAATTGTTTTGACAGATCGTTAACAGTCACTAAAATCGATATGTGTGACTGTTAACGATGCATGTCAAAAAAGTTATTAAAGAAATTGACAAAAATCGCGTCTGTCTGGAACAGGTTACTCGTGTAGCTCAAGAGTATATTGTGTGATGTTGTGACCTTGGAGGTCTTCGTTTTAAGTTTGTCGCATCGTTGGTATGCTTTGTTGTCCCGCGGCTCTCCGCACAAATATGACTTTCAGAGGTTTTTACTTAGCGTTGAAAATGTTTCTATAGTTTCGTTGTAAGGGGCTTATAAGACTTTTTGAATTTAAACACGATTGTTTTGGCCACGCCCCGTGATTCCATTTAGAGTTAGAATGACTAGAGAAACGAATAAGAACGATAGTAGAATGTGACTTTTCAACTATCTTATAAGCACTTACGTTTATTTAAATTTTTGTAGCCTTTTTTAATACCTGCACTTTTTTGAGTGTGCTGAAGGAGAAGTTGTTGTATATGGATTGTTTAAGAGAAAGTGCATTTTTATTCTATACGATTCATTTGGACTGATAGGTATGCGAATTTTATTAGCCAGAAACTTAACATGGTATTAACTGTTTAGGAAAATTGAATAGATCGCCTTGTATTGAATAAAAATGCATCGAAATCTCGTCCTTATTACAGAGATCACATTTACGAGATTAGAACGCATTTAATGTTAGGTTTAGTCAAGTCTGTATTGTGTAACTGTATTAGTATATCGTAAGCATAGCAGGGATGTGAAGTGGACGCCATGCCAAACTTTATATTATATCTACTTGTAAGGTATCGGTATACCACAGTCTAGATTTAGTTAGGTCTAGTTTGAATTTACGTCATGAGTGATCGTTTTGAATCTATGGAAAGAAGGAATTAGGATTTTGACTCATTTTGATGGCATGACTGGCACCGAGTTTTGTCTGCCCATTCCTGAAATACAATCGTAAAAGTAAGAGGTATGAACAAATAATGCCTCTTTAATCTTTGTTTTATTATTTTACCTAATAGCGTAATTGTATACCTATAACCTATAGACTATTGAATTTTATTATCCTACTCGTGTGGGTGTGTCCTCCCGCCAATATTCATATACTCGTCTTCAGACACGCCCACACATTTTAGTTTATTAGAGGTTAGTGCTAGTCCTTACACACTAGCCTATATCCTACTTAGTTAAATATCCAATTATAACGTACTTTTAAGTTTTTATAAGTTCAAACGTTGATTGTGTCATATAGTGGTAGTTTTACTTGTGGGAATGCCAAAAAATACTCTAAATTTTTTTTTCGCCTTTAAGGTTTATTAAAATAATAACTTTACTGTTCAATTCATGACGCAAGGAAAGTATTATATTATATCGTCTGTAAGCATATACTAGCTTGAGTTAGTTTACGTAATTTGTAATCGAGTTTATATCCTTTTGAATATTAACTTGTAATGTCTTAGCAAGGCTACTTGATCTCTTTAAGGGTGCACGTCTTCCTCTTTCCTTTAAGAAAGCTCACATTTCCCGAATTTTCTTTGAAGCCAATGAATAGAGAATCCACCACTGCTCAATATAATTCGGTTTGTCGGTGCTAAATGCATCATAGCTTTAGTTTACGCGCAGTAGGATGTGGGTAGATCGAATGGAGTAAGCGAACAGCAAATTATTAATAATTTAAGAATGGTGCACTGTTGAATGAAACTGTTTTTCATGTATAAGGATCTATGGTAGATAATGGTCTAAGTCGCATTGGATCAAGTGAAAGAAGTAATGTATATCGTATACATATGTACGGTAGATAGTTGTAACGAAAAGTTTTGTATGAACGTCCTAGCGAGGCATTGTACGCTACGTCGTATGTATTGAAGAACGTAAAATAAATTTAACTATCTCAATCATATTGTTTTATTATCTTCGTATATCGTATATTACCATGAGTCTAAGGAACTCATTTGTATGAAACATGTTAGACTACATTTGGAAATCTAGGTGTGAGTCCGTGGGCTTCTAAATGTTCAAGGCGCAATAGGTAGACAGCGACTCGTTCTTATATGTATATATGACTATCACTTTTCATCAACTAAACCTATTCTTGTCTCTTCACCTTTCTCGTAAAAATTGTGAAGAATTAGTTTCTCAAGTTATTAAATAAGCAGAAGTCTAAACGAAGTCAAAGCGCCAAGGCAGACATGCTCCAGAAGTACAAAGCAAAGATAGTATTTATTCTTGTGCAATTTTTAATATATAGAAACACATTTAGGTTCAATTCAACTCGGGGTCGAAAAAAAGACTAAATATTTTCAACAACTTTATTTCAACAATTCCTTAATACTGTATACAGCCACTAATTCGATAAGCTTAGCTTGTTATAAATCTTAGTTATATTAACATAATGTTACTCTAGTAATACAAATTTTAAGGAATAGCTTATTCTATAATCACAAGCACCTCTACGGTTTACTATAATATAATTTTACTAAGGAAAGTGTTAAATACGATAGTCTAAAGAAAAACTAAATCAACATACTTTATGTAGCAATGAAATTGTTAGGTCTTATATACAAGTAAAGTTTAAAAATTGTTTACAAAAGTAGAGATAGCTGAGCCTACATTTTTACTGTACTGCATCTCATACAAGATGGGGGCGATTCTCAACAAAGTGATACGAAATTTACGCCGATAGCAGTTGCCAGTTGTGTCTAAACTTGTAATAAAGGCCGACTTAATTCTTACTCTAGAATTGCCTCCTCTATCCGACGACAAACGTTTTAAAAAATGTTTGTCTATCCTTAGTTTTGTTAGTTAGTAGTTATTAACTATAGCTTATTCAATAAAGAGATACTTAAATATTTTCAAATAACTTAAGACTTAAAGATCACGCTCTTTTTGGAGATTTATTCTTTATTTGGGCAAGATGTATTCTGAAAGGACAATAAAAATAATTAGAAATTGATCTTCTACTTACGTGATGAAAAATACAATGAATTAGGCCCAAATAAGAAAAGGCATGGAGAAACCTAATTACAATTAAGCTATTAAATAAATCACTTAAACGCTTTAAAATGCGATATATATTAAGTAAACTTATTTGGAATTATTGTAACTACGGCACGACGGTTGGCTTGCTTTGCAACAGCCGCGGTGGGGGCAGGCACGGGGAGACAGGGGAGAGATGTGTACTACTTGCCTAAACTACAGACAGTTCAATTAATCTTTTATTTCTTATCTGTACAGGGTGTTAAGCTTACCAAGTAGGCTTTTTTGTGCCTCTGCTGATGTCAAGGAGTAACCGATCGAGCTCAGCCCGATGTGAACAATGTAGGAACTCTCTTGGTCGTACGCCACGAAACACTTCAGCTATTGACGGCTTTACGTTGTAAAATATAATTGTTTGTCCGCGGGCGTGGAAATCGTCTATTAACGACTTAATACCCTGCGATTAAAAATACTTTATTACAAAACTTGTATCTAAATTAAACCTACTTTAATTTGTTAATAGATAACATTTCATTTTAGGTTATCGACTAACAAATAATAATAGGTACTCCTTTAGTTACCAATGTAACAGTTTTTGTTACATCGTAACATATACTGTAAAAATTAAGATATTATTTACATTAAAAAATAACATAAGTTCTAGTCCAGCACAAGTTGTTAAATATAGTTGTCTTTAAGATCGCTGAATTGTGTAAAATTATAGCGGTCCCGAAGAGACATCGTTACGGTTGTTAAGGGCACAGAAAGATGATATCCACATTTCCGTTTTAACCAATCAAGATCACAAATTCGGGATCCACAGACGATCACAGATAATATTTAAATTAATTTAAGATAGTTTTACCTTAGCAGCGGTGAAATCAGCTGCTTGAACGTGATGCGCGTCCAGCACGAGCGGTGCATCTGACGGAGCCTTTCGTAACGCGCGTCTTACGAATTCTGCTGACGGAAACGACAGCGCACGGTCTACCGTCGCCAGCACATATGGCACGCCGTCACTTGACTGAAACGAATCAAGATTGATTATAAAAATGATAGATGATAGTAATTTGATTCAAGAAGAGCGAAATGTTGTAGTATAATAGTTCGTCTGATTAAATAGCATACTTTAACAGTTTAAAACGTGAAATATATTAATTTTGGGATAATAGTCTAGTTTCGGCCCGTCGCATTTTAAACTGTTATAAGTGTTCTATTTAAATGTGCACTACTCGCGTAAACGACAGACTGTATGATCCAGTTTGTATGATCCAGATGATAAGTATGATCCAGTGTATTGTGTTCTTTTTAATTAAAAAGATATTTCGAAAAATATGGGCATAAGTACATAACGACAAAAATCGATAGGTAGGTGAACAAAAATGTTTGTGTGATATACAACATAATACATAATTATGTAATTATATATATACTTTAAAATAACTTACAACGGCTCTTGTCACTCTCACAGAGGGTCGCGCAGATGCATATAAGAGAAACAGCAGATTAACAGCAATTCCTGCCACAATACCAAGTTCCAAGCGAACTAGCAAGCATGTCGCAAACGTCACTACTGCTGGTATTATGTCTAGTTCTGAAAATATTGTAATTGGTTTCGTCTTTTGTAAAATTATCTAAAAATTGGTTCAATTCAACATTAACCTGCGCATGCACAGATTAGAGTTTAAATATAAAAAATCGCCAGCATAACAAGTTTTTATGAATGTAATATTTAGTTTTATTTTAAAATAGCATTATTTTCTCCTTAAATGAAGTTGTTTACTTCTGTAATAACTTACTCTTAGTTCGCCAAATAGGTTTGAAGACGTGCAACTCCATCATAAATACTACAGCTGCTATGATCACAGCCGCTAAAGACGCTTTTGGAATGTAATAGAAGTATGGCGTGAAATACTGAAACAAAAATGGTAAGACAATAAAAAAACTGAATCTCCGTTTTAGGTACATTGAATTTCAATTCTTTCAGTGAATACAACAACAAAATAGTCTTTGACATATGTAATTGTTATATTAACTACAGACAGTACTGTAGTTAACGCGAAATTGTACACAAATAGAACACTTTTAACTGTTTAGAACGAGAAGTTAAACCTATTATTTATTTATTTTAAATACTCTCATACTTTTTGGATGTAGTGCAGCAGCATAAAATATTTCGCATTTTAAACCGTTAAAAGTGTTTTATAAAAAATATGTAAGTATAGTGTCTGTGGTTTACGCAAGTTGTGCACATTTACTATGTAAATAATATAATGGTTTAAAATACAAGCTATATTCGTTAAAGTTATGTTTTATTTAGTTTTACTACGACACCACGTATCAGGTGCTCTACAGTGGCATGATATATTTCGCGTTATAAACCATTAAAAGTGTTTCATTTAAAATTAAGGTGAAACAAAAATTATAATTCCCTATTTTGCGTATTACATACCGTAAAGCATAGTAAAAAATTACCTGTAACGCGAGCAGTACCAGAACGCCAGTGTAGACACCGCCAGCCGGAGTGGCCACACCCGAGGCATGATTAACAGCTCCTCGAGATAAAGCACCAGACACGGGCATCGAATCTACGACAGAAGATACGATGTTGCACACGCCTAGCGCTATCATCTCCTGAGTTGCGTCGACGTGTTTTCCTTCAGCTATAAATTGATAATAAAAGGAATGATTGTTCAGTTTTTCAAGCTGTTCGTCTGCCGTAATTGGGAAACGGTGCTCGGCAAATTAATTGGTCGAGAAAGTGGTCAATAATTGAAGTGGGTTAACAAAATGGCCGCAAATTCCAAATAAAATTACTTTAAAAAATTATTAGTTTGATACTCATACATACTATTTGTTTCTAAAATTCAATGTTACGAACCCAGGACCTCGAGTGTTCAATGCAATGCTAGGCAATTTTGTGCTATCAAGTTACGGAGACGATATTTTATAGTTCATCCAACTGGTAGTCAGACGTATTCAATATTGAGTAGTTAACGCGAGTAGGGAACATTTAAATAAAACATTATTAACGGTTTAAAACACAGAATATATTTTAACTTATTTTTATGCCAACGTTTCGGATGCTTTGCAGCAAAAAAAGTACCTATATATTTAAATTGCAATATTTTATTGAAGACAGATTTTTTAAAATGTCAGCTATTTTTAATACTTACAAAAAACTTTAGCTAACGCAATATTTTCCAATATAGAGAGCAGAGGAACAACAAATATGGCAGATCCCAGTGTGGAGGTCATCTCCATGAACGTGTAGGTGTGGTTCCCCACAGTTGCGGAGAATGGTGGAGGGGAGAATTCTGGCAAACCTGGTTTAACTGTTCCTGAAGAATAAAATAATAATAATTTAATCTAGTTATCAAACACCACTGAACACTTTTACGGTATAAGATAGTGGAGTGGTACTTTCAGAGAATTAACAATCATTTTATGGGATGTGTTAATCTCATTTCACGAGATGAAGGTTTTCTTTCGGTAGTTCAGATAAATTAAATTACGTAAAAATAATATAATAGTTCTGTGTGATTTTCGAGAAAAGGAAAAATACTTTTTCCTCACCTGTTACATGAACAATAAATTTTTGATAATTTATTAACATGACCGTGAGATTTCAATTGTTTTTATGTTGTATGGCTGCATTACGTATACTTACCAGTGAGAACAAAGGGCGTCTGATTCTTAGTATCAAAATAGTAAGCTAACGCCGAACAGAGGAGGACAACGAGGATGTTTCTAGTTGTAGATAAAAACCATAATGCCTGCGAGGCTCCCGCGCGTACCTTGCTGCTACTGCTAACTGTCTCCTCAATTCCAGCCACATCACTGATGTTGTCTGAAGAATCACTTATTTTAATGTCCTTTACTTTCTGTAATAGAACAGAAACATTTTATAAAAGCAAACGGTGGCTGCTGAAAAGCTTTCGAGACGTCGAGTCATAATTATTAGTGTTGTATTTTAAACCGTTAAGTTTGTAATGTTACTCGCGTAACAGACAACGTGTTTTATTTTGTTGATTGTAAAATATAACTGACAACTTATATTTGTACTTTAACGCTGAATTGAAATGAAATTATATGCAAGAGATTGTTAGGAATTGGAGGTGATTTAAAACGCGTCATATATTACTTAAACTTACTTTTGTCATCCCCTTTGCCTAGTTGTACAAAATCTATTCTATCTTGTGTAATGATGTTAAAATGCTGATTGTATCTATAGCAAAGTATATTTCTAGTTTTCCTACACTACACCGTACAAACAGGATGTTCGCACGTTAATTCCTAATTGGTATTTAATTGGCGACATCTCTAACAAACCCACTATTATGTAAGACTGCAGTTTATTGTTTCAAGTCGAATGCCACATAACTTCGAAACTATTAGTCACAGAAGAAATATATTCTTTTTTCATTAACATAACTATAATATTACCTAATCAATTAATGCTGGCTGTAGTGAGTACCTCACATTTATATCAGTCTATAAAACACTAACTGTTTAAAACGCGATAGTTAACCATATTTGAAAATTATGTTAATGCTTTGCAGCAGCCGTGGTCAAGGGTGACGGCTTTATGTCGCGTTTTAAACAGTTAGAGTATTTTATTAAAATTACCTAAACATGGTATTATATTGGCAGTAAACGCTAGTGGTACACATTATAAAACTTTTAACGGTTTAAACGCCCTATATGAACCCGAATAAGGTAAAACATTGGAAACCTCCGGATTTAGTTAAATTTGATGATGAAAGATTTAAATAAAACACTTTAACGGTTTAAAACGCGATATATTAGTTAAACTTATTTGAAAATGATTTTTAACTTCGGCCCGACGTTTCGGATGCTTTGCAGCAGCCGTGGTCACAGGGAGACTAAAGATGGAGGATGTCTCTGACGTCAAAGTAAAAATTGCTACGCTAGCGCCATCTGTTCCGTCAAAGTTGGTATTTGGTTAAAAATCATTTTCAAATAAGTTTAACTAATATATCGCGTTTTAAATCGTTAAAGTGTTTTATTTAAATGTGTACTACTCGCGTAAACTATAGACAGTATTTGATAAAAGATTTAGTAAAAATATATATTTACCGCGTTGTTTTAGTTTTTTCATTTAACATTTTATTGTATAACAGCCATCATCCGTATAAACTTTGAATTATTTTTGTAGAACAATTGCAATTATAATTGTAAAAAACACAATAGCTCTATAAAACACATCATTATTAATATGTGATGATTTAAACGTATGTCTACTAAAGGAAGTCGAAATGTTTTATGGTCACAGACAATTAACTTCGAAACATGGCGACTACCTATGTATTTTATATAAACGTTGCTACTTCTGTCTAAACCATTCATAATTCTGAAAGATTACAGAAATTACATATTAAACTTAATAATGCGTTAAGCGTTTAGATGTAAAAAAATGTCAGACAAATGTACTTACTCTAAGTAGAAGTAACAAAAGTATGCAGGAGAATCCTAAGACGGTGTCCCAAAGCCTTGTCTCTCCAATATGCTCATAGATACCAGACCAGACCTGCAATTATATTCCGTATACACCTAATTGGTACTGTCCCCAACGCGAAAAAAAACATCGCAAACTAATGTTTTTTGTTAATATAAAAAATAAAATAAATGTTCATTTGTGTTGAGCATGACAAAAAGCGAATATTACATAGCAACTAAATTAAGTACTTTCATTGTTTTGTTTATCTATGAAACAGATGCCATTAGTGTCGAAGATACTTTTTAGTATGTATTAAAAACTAGTTTATTTTCTTATCAATTAGAAGATTCTGTAAAGAATCGTTTGTTTCAGCCTAATGCTGCAAAGGACACAGGTTATATCTCTCATACGAAAAGGGTTTAGAAGACCCACCATGCTGATCAAATGCAGGTTGGTGGGCTTTAACGACTAGGGCCACGAAATCGTGGTGATAACTAGCACCGATAGCGTTACCTATAGCTTCGTTTAAACTCCCGATTGAGATACGTGAATTGTCTTAGAAAATTTCCAAATATGTACCTTACTAACAGTGTAATATTACAATTCTAATTACTGTTGGTCGAAGAATTTTTATTACAGTAATGTTCAAGGTCAATAGAATGTTCATAAAAAATACTAAACAGCAAAAAATGTGTCAATTAAATATAGTGGGGACACAAAAAACTTGGATGCCATTACAGATTGTACAGTCCCTTTTCAATTACTTTGAGCTTAAAAAGTAGTTGTCAAGCAACGACGCAGTTTGGTCTTGCCTTATAAATTTAATATTTACCTGCAGGAATTTCCCTCCAGGGAAATTAAGGCCCAGGATGTCTTTCACTTGTGTCGTGGCGATTATAATTGCTGCTGCTGATGTGAAGCCTACAGACACTGGTCCACTGATAAAATCTATAAGAAAACCTGGGAAAATATAGAGAGGAAAATATTATACTCAATAATACTTTGAATGTGCCAATGTAATTCTTTCTTTGTTTTTTGTTTTGTGACAGTAAAGGACAGACAAAACGGGCTGTATTTGATGGAATGTGATATACCTCAGTCATAACATACTAACAAGCTGCACTGTCAACTTAACTTGGACGTTCGGAAATCCACAAACTGAAACCGAATCGCGATAATACTGCGCCGCTTTTCACCTGCGGACGGTGATTCGTAAAAGTCTAAAGGCGCCCTGAAAATCTTAAATTTCTTTGTTTATTCTTCCTCTTCTACTTAGCTAAACGATTATCGTATTTAACTGAATTCAGTCTAATTATAGTTGACATTTTGCAAATTACAAGGCATATTCTATAGATTTGACAGAAGACGTGGTATCATGGTATTGTTAAACATTTAGGAATGACTGCGGCTCACAATATTTGTTATACTGCCTTGTGTTTTGTTTTATCTCGCGTTTCAAGCGGAGAATATGTATGACGAAGCAAAACAGCAAACGACTTATGTAATATAAATTATTTACAGACTGGGGAATGAAATATCCAATTTGATGTTTTACATCTAAAACAATATATTTGGTTATTACGTACACGTTAATGTGTTACATGTGTATATTATAGTTTCAACTGCCTTCTTTAGATTTCCGAATCTCCGACGAATAAATAGGTTGACATCGCATCTTAATTATTTTATCTTCAAGTAAACCCCAAGCGTGTTTGTCTTTTATAAATACTGAAGTTATTTAGTTCCAGTCTTATTTTTAACGAACTTCAAAAAAGGAGGTTCTCAATTCGATGCGCGTATATGCTTGTTTTTAGTTACAATTATATAATACATGATATTATGTCGTAGCACGCAACACCACACACGACAGGGATATTGTTGTTCATTGTATTTATATACAATGCGTATAGAATATATTCGCTTTACAATAAACTATGAGACAAATTGTTCAATAGCATTCTGCATGGTATGTTAAGAGTAAAATTGAGCCGAGGTTATTCATAGAACTGTTGTTTTCTTTATTCCATCAGTTTCAGGCTAAAATAGTTATTATGTTCCACCACGAAAATACCAATTTTTCATTTAAATAATAAAATGTTTGTACACCTGCATGTTAAACTTCAAATGACTGGCTGGTCAAAAGAAAGTTTTAATTTATATGGCTGGAAAGACAAAACCTTTTAGCCAGTTGTAAATCAAAGTTTAATTTAATAGTCCGTTAACAAAAAAAAAAAAAACCTAACGCTTTGATAGGATTATATCATTGTTATATATTGATATTTATTAATTAAGCTATTGTATAACGTAGGAAATTCAAGCAGTAGTCACTGTATGACTCTGTTTATGTTCACACATCTCCAAGCTAAACAGCATATTTGTTTAACTAAATAGTTCAAAACTTCTCACTGTTATTCGAGTGATTTCCCACTGCTGGGACTAAAGCCTCAAATAAGGGTATAATCATTAATCCTCACTTGCAATTTGGTTACCCATTGCGTGTTTCCTAACATTGTTTGATTGTATAACATGTCAATATGAAACACAATCCGAGATCGGAACTCCCAACTAGATCACACGTCAAGCGCACACCGCTAGATAAACACGGCGACTTCTTACCTAGTTGTAAAATGCCCATAACAAGTTCCACGCATCCAGAAAGAAAAGCCAGCAGCACGGCGAACTCTGGCCCCAAGCCGTGAAGGTTTTCTCTAGTAAGGATAGCTGCAATGGCTGTTGGTCCTATAGCGGAGTCCTTCACGGACCCGAAGACCGTGTAGACGAAGCAGGCCATGAACGACGAGTAGAGGCCGTACTGCGGGGGTAGTCCAGCTACGCCCGCGTAGGCTATAGCTTGGGGTATCACAGTTAGACCTACTGTTAAACCTGAAACCAAGATAGATGAAATTAATATCATTGAATGGAGGAGGGTAGACACGTATGGGTTAACTTGAAGGAAGGTGAGTTACCCCAGCTCTCTAACATCTAAATAACATGCACTGTCTAAGTGATGTAAGTAACATGGACTTTTGGAAATTCACTTCCTGAAAACGCGACTAAAATTCACGGCTATGTCACCTGTGAACAGGTGTTTGTGACTCGGACGAATATTTGATACGATAATCCTACCATTTAATAGCCAGATTTCTAGACGAGGTCACAAAATGTCACATAAAAGTTATAAATTGATTAAAAACATGTAAGACACGGTGGGGATCAAATATGGAATGGGGCTGACATAATTATATTTATTGATCGATCTTATATGCAAGTTGTTAATTAGAGGCTTCTTTGTCTTGTCAAATCGAAAATTTAGGACCCGAAACCATTTTACACTTAACGGTCTTTGCTTGTTTTCTAGATATGTCCAGGGCGTTTGATACAATTTCTTATGACCTTCTTATGCACAAATTAAGAACGAAGACATGGGTTTCAGAGGAAGTTATAGGTAGTGTTTGATTATTGGTACACCGATCAGGGAGAATTGTGTAAGATGGAGTAATGTGGAGTCTGAGACGTATGGATTAAAGTGTGGGGTAAGGCAGGGGGGGTTACATCTACCTGTCTTTTTAACCTATACGGAGAAGGAGCAGGGGTGTAGGCTGCTCAATTGATGGAATAAGAGTGAACAACATTAATTATGCTGATGATATGGTGTTGCTAGCTCCCTCGGTGAGCCCACCGAAAGCTCTTAAAAATCGGTGAAGTCTTTGCTGAAACCCCTGGCCCGGGCCCCAAAAGAGCCCAAAATTTTTTTTTTTTTTTTTTTTTCCCGCGCCTCTGAATAGGCGTGGTTCTTAATAATTTGTACGGAAGACTTTGGATGGAGCTGACCTGGAGAGAGAAAGGAGGGCTATGGCGGTGAGGGGTAACATGTTGGCCCGGAGGTTTGCACGAAGCTCAAACGATGTCAAAATCGTCTTATTTAAGGCTTACTGCCAATCATTCTACTCATGTAGCTTATGGGCCTCCTTTACTCAGAGAGCATTGAATGCTATTCGTGTGCAATACAACAATGTTTTCAGGTTGTTATTGGGCTTGCCAAGATACTGTAGTGCGTCGGGCATGTTTGCTGATGCACGCACGGATGGTTTCCATGCCATCATCCGCAAGCGTGTAGCTTCTCTCATGTATCGAGTTCGACAAAGCACCAATGGCATTCTGGGGGCATTATGTAAAAAGTATACGGTGCTACTAAAACGATGGAGTGCCGTCCATGCTCCCCCTTAGCGCCTAGCACCTACTCTGTATAATTCATTCTGTTTACTTAATTTTAGTGACTAACAATTCAATATACATTTTAAGTTAAAAAATTGGTACTAACCCAACTAACACACATTAGAATTAATTAATTTAAAGAAATGGATTTATGGTCTGAAAAATAAATTATTATTATTAACATTTCAAACAAACTACGCGTGAAAATCTCAATAGAAGCAAAATGTAGATGAAATCCCGTTTCCCCCGTCAGTTTTTACAGACTTCTGTGCCCTGACAAACCAAAACAATGTACCTATTGTTTCCCTGGCATTCGATAACTGGACCCTCTCGCACTTAACACAACGCTAGGCTCGTAGGCTAGACGTTTCTAAGTGCTCCCTCAAGGCAATGGTGTGTTCTGTGGTTCTGGTCGGCTATTGTCTCCGAGGATATTTCAGTACGATTTACCACACTCCCCACGTCACTATTGTCCGACGTGGGCGTGTATTAGGCATCCACACCATCTGGTAAAAAAAACGGGCTAGGGGGCCGTTAGTACACCGGGAAGTGATAGACTCGATGGCTCAAATTCATGCCTGGTACAAAATAGTTCGTCTAAATAGTCCTCTTCGCCTTCCTTGACTTCATATCGCAACCATTTAAAAATATAATTGGCCAATCGATCCACCGTAAGTACTTAATTATCCCTTGTTACATTTAACATTTCCATCACAATGGACAATGGATAGTTTATGAAATGTCGCATTCTTATGTAACCGAAGTCATTTTCTTTTCACTGAAGCCCAAAACAATCTGAATGGATTAGCAGGAACTATGTATTCTTCTGCCTGATTTAGTTTACCAGACACGCTGTTCCCGCGACTTCGTCCATGTGGAATTAATTAATTAATTTTGGACATCAAAAATACACACAATTAAATACTCTTAATAAACAACACATTTATATGGACAAAGATTAATATTATATGTTGATACAACTCAAACAAATAATTGGTAAATTTGATTTACATAAAAATGTTTGCGAGTTAATTTTAAAACATAGACTGCCGTGGTTTTTTGATCATTTAAAGAAGAATCATTCTTTCACACATATTTTTTTGAACCGCTTTCGCAGCGCACGCAATGGAAACCCTCGAAGATGAATAAATTTCCCCCATTTTCCTAAATTTTCGAATATTTCTTAGCTCCTTTATATCACAGCGTGATGCTATTTAGCCTACAGCCTTTCTCGATAATTAAATCTATCCAACATACATATTTTCAATTACAACCCGTACTTCCTAAAATTAGTCTACAAAGAAATAACCTCTTCAACTGAAAGTCTGTATGCTGTACCTACAGTACCCATTGCAAATTAGCTGAAGCGAGGTTGGTATATATTATTATATTTAATTTAAGTTTTATTTTTAGCACCTGTTTCATTTTATCTCACCTACCATCATGCATGCTTCATCTTATCAATCATTATTATTATGTTGGTACTTTTTATAATGAAATAATTGCCCCCCATCGATCACTATAATGTAATATTAAGATAATGGGCGACTTAATTACACTATTCGACCATATTGTTATGTAAAATTTAATAGTAGCAATGTATATAATAATCAACGGGTCGTGAGTTTGAACATGTTTCTAATTTTTCAAATCATAATTTCTCTGAAACATGTTCGACTTCGTCTGGAAATCCGGAAATTAAATGGGTTGTAGGAATATCAAAATTTCCACCACCGTGTGAACCACAATCCACAGATGAAAAAGCCGCGAAGCTTAATAGCATTTTGGTTTCTAGTCTGTGGATTTCCGAATATCTAAAGCCAAAATACTATCAAGTGAGCTTGTCTGTCCTCATCTATCATATAAAAAAATCTTGTGATATGTATTGGCATTTTAAATCTTAAGCCGTGCTTTGAATTTAGCTCTCTTTACTGTATATAAGATGGTTTTCGAAGCCGATTAGTTCGGTCAAACTCTACATAACATGTATTATGCAGTTATAGCAGATAACTGCACCTTTTAAAAACTAAACAGCAGATATAGATCTCAATTGTAACCTAGACGCTGGTTAGCGCTTACAAAACAGCTTCAAGTACATACAATGGAAATCTTAGTAATTTCACGGTCCGATAGTTTGCTATGCTGTGACTTTTTATCGATACGTGGAGGCCGAAATTATTTCGCAGCTAGTAATGTCAATAAACTTTAATGTTCTGTATGTATACGAATCTAGGAAGGACTATTTCATCATTGAATTACAGATTAAAAAGAACTGACACGGACGGGACTCGAACTGTTTTCGATGTCGTGGACCATGGAACATGGACTACACTTGATGGTGAAATATCCCGGCCACATAACGTCTAAACAAGATGCGCTGTCGACTTATTTTCACTTTGGGTATTCGGAAATCCACGGACTGAAACCGAAACGCGATTGGCTTGACAGCTTTTTCATCTGTGGACTGGATGGTTCGCGACCCGGATCGAATACTATCTACCGACTATCATTATACTACCGAGCCATTAAAAACGTTTGTCACTGTTAATACATATATAAATATACATGGGAAAAATATAATACTGCTATAGTTTGACCGCGGCTGCTACAAAGCATCCGAAACGCCGGGCCGAAGTTAAAAATCATTTTCAAATAAGTTTAACTAAATAAAAAAGGTTAACTAATAAAGGCGGTACTTTTAATTGAATATTTTTCACTTTAACGGTTTAAAACGCGATATATATTAGTTACAAAAATTTTCAAATAAGTTTAACTAATATAATCGCGTTTTAAACTATTGAAGTGTTTTATTTATATATGTAATGATATTAACATAGGAAGTACACGCTCCCACATACAAGTCTAAAAGCGACGTTGACATTATTGTCGTATAATGTTATTGCAACCAATATGTTACCTGCTATTGCATCAGCCAGTCCTTTGCTCAGGTTATAATCAGGAAGCCAGGCCAAGATAGGTAGTCTCCGAAGCAACGTCTTCTTTGAGCAGCAAGATTTCGCTCGCTTAGTCATGTTATTTCTCCATCTGCTTTTCTTCTCCGGGTAATTGTTGCCGGGGTAGGAACCGTTTGAATCTAGGAAGAGAAAGAAAAAAGATCGTTTCAAGTTCAATAAGAAGTCTTTGAAATATTGATTTTTAGTGTAAGCCGTATGTGTTAGTATAAAATGGTTGTCGTACTAATAATAAAAATACGATCATTATTTTAAAATAATGTTAATAGATTTTGGTCAATGAACGATATATGGTAATTGAAATGAACAACGTTCCGTCCACGAACCTTTGCCCATACATGGAAAAGGCGTTAAGTCTAAAAATCAAGTTTCGGTTTCAGACTTTGCGCACCGTTTTCTGTGTCTGTTTAACTCATCTGTTATATATACAGACAAGTAATTGATCAGACTGCTGTGCCCGGTCCGTCTGAACAATCCAATTTTTGCCCAGGATTTGAACCCAAGATCACTCGCGTTTAACTCGCTCAACTAATTAGCTACTAAGGCGATTACGATAGCCTTATAAATTAGAAAATCAACTGATCCGCGCCTTCGGAAAACAATAATCAATCTAAGCTATACAATCTACGGAATATACTAGTAAGATGAATTTTGGCTAAAACTTTTTCCTAACGCTTGTCTGTCCATCAGAAGAAATAAAGATGAAATGCGTTGCGTCTAATTATTGAACTTTGAAGACACTACAGTTTCCGCTAATTGGAATATTAAACGCATTAAGTACACATTTGCTTTTTTAATACGCAAATGTAATTGTGTAAAATTCAACTCGTACAAAAGTTAAATTAATGCAACTTCAAGGTCTACAACTTTTTTCACTAAGCATATTTAAATTTAATTATTTACTGTTGAAATTTGTACTGTTGTACATTACTTAATTTTTTATACCGTTTATTTGTTGATTTCGTCTTTGTATGTACTTGTTAGTATGTGTGTGTCAGAAATTCACTGTTTACCATTCTTGTTAAGTAATTTAGCCAGATTAAGTAGGTTACCATTCGAACCAACAGAATTACACAACAAAAGAAAAAGCGGTCTATTAGCAAAACTAAGTGATCTAAGTTGATTAGCATAAGAAAGTTTTAGTAGCTGACAGGGGTACTGACTCAGATGTGTTAAAAATAATATCATTTAAAGTAAAATGAATATAATTAAATATTTTAATATCTACCTACTAGTACTCCAATATTGATAGCAAACTCCCATTCTCAACCTCAATAAAACGAAACAACTTTATTCTGGTTAAAGTTCTTAACTCTTACTATTCATAGATGAGAATATGAAAAGTGATATAGGCTGTTAAAGAATGTCATGTATTTTTAAAATTTCAACGATATTATTGTAAATTGAAACTAATCTTATCCTATCTTACAAATATTATAAAAAGTGTAAATGTTTGTTACAATCTCATGCCAAAACGACTCGACCAATTTTGATGGGCCTAGAACAACAACAATAGAATAATAACAACATAGGGCATACATTCAATGTAAAATCATGTTCCCACTACAAAAACGGAGAGTCTAATGAGTTCTAATTTCATTTTTAATGCCTTTAAAAGACAAGCATACGGTACACTTGATGGTAGGTGAAACACTCCTGTCATATAATATCTCCACAAGACACGTTATCGACCTATTTTGGCTTTAGATATTCAGAATTGGGGTTTGACGCCTTACGTTGTGTCTATGTTTAATAAATTTGTGTTCGCAAAATCATTACTTGGATGGAGTATCAGGTTAGACAATGAACCAATTCAGTTACAATAACACAATTTGTTTTTAAACACAACCTCTTTCCGTGGATGTCAACTTCAAGAACGATTTCTGAGTTTTGCAGGTAACGCTTATGTCGGGTGTGTGATAAAAGCGAACGTTGTGCCGTAAGGTAAGAACTAGAACTACAATAATCTATAATCTGTTGCTCTGGTTTAAAATTTATTTGTAAATTATTTTAACTACGGCCCGACGTTAGTAAGTAAAGGTAAGTCTAACAAATTTATTGCGTTTTCAACCGATAAAGTATTTTATATAAATGTGTACTACTCGCGTTAACTACAGACAGTATAATATATATAATCTATGCTACACAAAAACAATACAAATCGTTTCTCTCCACATATAATAAAATTATCAAACACAAAGTGTGGTTGAAAGTATGACGGAATAGAAGAAAATATTAATATTGTTTTTTGCTATATGTGTGTCATTGAATGTACAGGACTTGTGTTCTGCCACATAATACTTTTCCACGCAGATAATTTCGTGATTTAAAATTTTTCAACTTTGAGCACATAGTAATAAATTATTACAGCTTTTTTAATGTAATATTAGTAATCTCAATCTATTTATAGTAAAAAACTACCCCAAAGCCTCTATTACTATGATTATAATCCATACTAATATATAAAGCTGCAGAGATTGTTTCTTTGAACGAGCTAATCTCAGGAAGTATGGGTTCGAAATGAATAATTCTTCGTGTTGGTTAGAGCATTTATCGAGAAAGGCTATAGGGTACAAAACAATGCTCTGTGTTTAATACAAGCGAATATACAGCGAGAAATGTGAACAAAATTATATGTATGAAAGAGTGATTCCTCATTAAATAATCTAAAAAAGTCTACTACGAGAGAATGATATATATATATATCTCTTTCTCTCTTTTAAGGTGAACTTGCAAGAACGATTGGAAAGGACACAACCGACGTCGTGGGTAACAGCTTAAGTTTAAAAAGATGAAGGGGTTTGCAAAAACCAACTTGTATGTCTAAAATAACGATTCTCGCGGACGAAGTCGCTGACACAGTTAGTATATTAATATTTAATATGACGTTCTCTTTGGTATAATAATAGCAATGTATGCCTAATAATCAAACAGCGGTCGTGGGTTCGTTCCCCACCGGGTGCAACATCTTTCAAATCAACTTTTTCTGAAATATTTTGGACACTTGGAATATACATATTACAGGTATGGTAGGAAAATCGAAATTCCGGAATCAACGTATAAAAAGGTGAACCCTATTTTGTATCTCTCTTCCTGTGTCATAGAAATAAATATATATATATATATATATAACATTTATGTGAATTTCCTTTGTATAGGATGCGCCCCGCTGGTTAGAACCGAATTGATATCCAGTAAAGATTATCCATACGACGGCAAATAGCCTTGTGTTGACGTCTTTCAGCTTATTAACAGACATTGAATACAGGAAACATCGTTTTTCATCTTAGTACGTATTGACTATCGCCATTGGTATTATGTGAAGCCGTCAGGCAAATATTAGAAATAACAATAAATTTTCTTGTTCACTTAAACTACTTCTCTTTACCTGAGGCTGGATCCGTTTCCTATGTGATTCCTTGATTTAGTATCTTAGGTAGTTAACTAACACTTTCAATTTGTCATTTGTTTGAGAATAGGACGAAAGAATTAAAGTTTCGATATAAATTTACTCGTTCAATAGCTAAGGTCAGGTGTAGATATGTGTATTTCGTATAATTTTTAAATTTTCAATGTTAAATACTGTCTGTAGTTTACGTGAGTAGTACTCATTAAAAAAATAACTTAAACGGTTTAAAACGCGATAGATATTAGTTAAACTTATTTAAACTTAGGAAGGCCAATCCACCAAATTAATAATCACGAAAATCGATATTACGATCTCAATTTCGAACACTTCTTGACACCTAATATGAAAATAGTTTCAAAATCTTAAACTATAGGAAGGCTCAGTCGAATAACTGCCTTGACGATCTAATTAGCGAATAAAAACGTAATTAGCCTTTCCAATTGCTCTCAGGAAATCGAGCGGGTGACAAAAAACAGAGCATCACTTTCAAGGGGCTGGACAGACTATCCTATTTGTAGACAATGATTTATTCTTAAGACAATTGATTTATCAGCTTTCAGCTTCGTCGCTTCAGACGGCGTACAGAAAAATCGATATTAGATTTTTGCCACACAATATGTATTCCGAACGAATTCCGAAGCTCAAATATAACGTAAACCACTTAAAGAGCTACTTTGAACTTCTACCTATGAACCTACCTGGTACCACACGTCAACGTCAAATTTTAATCCACTTGTAGATACACCTTCTTCCTTTTGTAGTTATTAACGGTAATCGAACACGCGAACAGAAAAGGCGAAAATGTATACATAAATAAGTGCAATATTAATTCAATTAATGAGTACTAGGAACTAACCTACGCTACATAGATTTTTCCTTGACGTGACCAGTACCAAGATACTGTAGGAATTTTAATAGGATTTAATATAAATATGATAGTAATCGTTACTGTCGCATAAATTACGCATTGTTCAGTTCAATGCCGTTGAAATAGGTGTCTATTGTTTTATTATCACTTTAAATTCGAAAATGACCACACACGTGGATATTATTTTTACTAACTTACTAAATGTGTACAAAAAAATTGACCTAAATTTTACGTTTTCACCGAAAAACCACGATATGATTGATACATTCGTTTAAATAGATTTTGTAAAAGTTGAGGGATAAAAATATTGCCAAATCGGAAGCTATTATAAATTTAGGAATGCGCCTTACTAAAATGCCTTACAAACTGTTTACAAAATGAAATTAAAAACGCTTTTTTTTATTTGGGCAGAGAGAACAATACAAGATTACATTAAGTTTTTGCATCTCGAATTAATAATAGCATGGACGCTAAGGACGTAACGCTGGCTAAGTAGTACAATTCATAATATTGGGGGGTGTTGGAGAAAATCTATTTTAGATTTATACGAGTATATATAGTTTATCCACATAAATTCTGACCATTATTTGAAGATTTTTTATTTTTTTTCAGTGACATAACTGTATGATGTTTAATATTCATAACTTGTGTAATGTTTTTTTTAATTAAAAGCTACCATACTCAATAGTTATATAACTCCACATAATACCCGTGGATTAATTAAATCGAAAAGTCTCGATAATTCAGTTATCGCGTATCGGCGCACGGAAGAATATTTCTTATTACTCAAGGTTCCACAGCATGTGGACTTTAAAAGAATTTATAGAATTATCTAGTAATATATTCTATACGAATTTCTTAAATATCTAAAATGTATGACTTGGTGTGATATGTTGTAAAAATATAAAAACAACCGGTCAAGAGCGAGTTGCATTCTTGCATAAAGGGTTCCGTAAGATTCCGGGCCTAAGTAATATTCATAAAAAAATTTTTTTTTTTTGACACATTTTTTTTTACTTTTTCTAGTATTGTTCTTAGTGCATGTCATGGGGAACCACTTCATGTATATAGTGTAGAATCGGAAGAGGGAGCCATGTAGAGGCTATCGGGCGAGTTCTATGGAGATCCCGGGATGCTTCTTTATTGTGTCAGAGGTACCACTATGAAGTTTTCGTTGGTTGAAGCCCGACATAACCCAATTGCTCCTTTTAGTGTGATGGGTATTCAAAAGGATTGTCCCACGATAAAAAAGTCTACAAATTGTGTATTAGTTATCATGTATTAACAAAAAGCAAAACTGGCGTAATATTTATTTATAGTAATAATTTTTTTGTTACGGAACCCTAGAAATTAACGTAATGCTGTCTGTGATACTTTACTTTACGTTTATATATAGTTTTTACAGACACCTACAAGCCGTTTTTTTGTATCGCAGTGATGTATCCAAGTATTCTACTATTCTATTGAGATTATCTTTGCACGAAGACAAAGTTGTGAAATGTTTTATGAACTCTATCGAATGCACTGTATGAACTAGTAAGTAGCTTTTTTATGATAGAGGACGGCAGACAAGCATGGTTCAGTAATTTAAGCATATATCGTACGCGAAATAAAAAATAAAACTTTGTATTTTTCAAAAATGCTGATAGACATCTAGAAATATGTTAGATCGTACGTTAAAATCATAAAGGTTTAGTTGAGAAAAATATTGCTTTAGTTTTTATAAACGTGAATGAAAATTTTGCCGAAATTTACCAATATCAAGGATTTCGGTTTTGGTTTAAAGCAGACTCGGCATTAATAATTAAACATAAAGAATAACATTGTCTGTAGTTTACGCGAATAGTACACATTTGAATAAAACACTTTAACGGTTTAATAAACGAGATATATTTTAGTTTAACTTGTTTGAACATTTGTAACTACGGCCCGAGGTTTCGGTTGCTTTGCAGCAGCCGTGGCCACGGGGCGACACGGGGTTTTCAACCGTTAAAGTGTTTTATTTAAATAAAAATAATATTAGTATTTAAATTAACAGCTACATTTGAAAACAGGCACTCACTTTGGTATAAAGAAACGCCATGGCAAGACAAGCACTCCTTCTGAGCACCTTCAAGATTGATGGTCAAAGTTGGCGCCGGACTCGATCTAGGACACAGCTTGCACCCACCATTGTACTTCTCGCACAGACACACATCCTCCAAACTTTCCACTTTCAGCTCGTTGAGGCCAAATTTATCACAGGTTTTCTCCAAAGCCGCCAGGCCGTTGTCAATATACTCGCAGGAGCTTGGGCATACGTTGCATTTAGTTAGATCTGGATCTAGCTGGATCTGGAACACATTATCCTTCTTCCCCTCCATGCTTCCAGAGAGGTAAGACGTTAACGTCACTTCGGAAGACGACCGGACATTGTTGTTGAGCTTATATTTTGTCATTTTTGATAGTTAAAACACGGTTTTGAAGGCCGATGCGCGTGTCATTTTACGATATCAATTTTGGTTGCTTTTGTGTTATTGTGGGGAGGGCTAAGGCGAGGCGTCACTCCGAGCGGCTAACGCGACCGGCTGCGCGCGAACGAATGTTGGAAAATTATTTCGAGCAAATAAAACGACTTTGCTGCTGGCTTTGTCGCAGTGAAATGGTGTGAAATAAAGTTATTGTTCCTTTGAATACACAGAATGCAAATGCAGAAGGGTCGGCTTATTGAATAATTGAAACTGGTTTAAATTTAAGGGGAAATTGTAAAGAAAAGTAGGTCAAGGACTCACAACTATCAAACAAGCGAGAATTTGTGTTAAACAAAATTTTCAATCTGACTACATGATTTATAAAAAGTAAAAATAACCGCCCGAACAGGGACTTGAACCCTGGACCCTTGGATTAAAAGTCCAATGCTCTACCGACTGAGCTATCCGGGCCTTATACGTTTGAATGAATTTAGAAACGGTTTTCAAATCACAATCAACAAACAAACTTAATAATTGTAATTTAGCATCAAATAGACAATTTCGAATTACTTTTAGCTTCCGGACAAAAAAGTATCGATTCACAATGTGTAATACCATCAAACAATTAATTTATCGAATAATAATGAATCCAAAGGTAATACGGAATTTAAATTGATGTAAAATTAGTACTTGTATATTATAATTTATTGTGTATAAACCAATATACTTATATAATATTTTTATTATACTTCCTACAAAAACTCACACACGGAAGTAACATGTATAAAGTTATAAGCCTGTATGACCTGCACTTAAACATTATTATGCGTTATATCAATACATAAAATGAAATAAAACCGAATTATATATTTTTTACCAATGTCAACACAGACAATGTTTTATAATGATTAAATAACCGTTAATTATTTGTTTTAGTCTGAAGATGTAACAAGATCTTACGATAAATAATTGTCACAGTTAATTTGGCGGGAAACACGGAAACATGGCGGCCTCGCCTCTTCCGTTACAAAAACAACAATCGCAGCACCCTAGCGCCTAGGAACCACGGCCCATTGTCGATTACGAGACAATAAATATTGTTGAGACTAGATGTTATTCATACCAATAACACCCAGTTAAACTTTTATCTAAATCATTATACATTTAACATAAATACAGAAGATGTTGGTTTTGTGCCTCCGAAAATGTTGTCATACACAAATAGCTGTGTTTTTATTTAATAAACGAAATAGCATAACTTCAAAGAGTGTTCATATGTTTAAAAGAATATTATAATAGCTGCCATCTAGGGACATTCTTATTACAACGATGTATAATTGAGGAAATATATTGTAACATTTTTGAGAGACCATAATGTCATTTGTAGACTTGAAAGTGCTTTGTACAATCACCGCTAGATGTCACAATAATAAAAAAATTTAAAACTGGTCGTTTACTATTTCAAAACTAGATGGCATTTATTTTAATTTTCAAAAGAATTTGTTAATTGACTTTATAAATAAACCATATTATTCAGTTATATTTCATTAATTAGTGTCTTTCAAAGGAACAGACTGCTTGAAGACTATGATGCTATATAATTTATTTTAAGCAAATCATTTTCATCAAGTCATATATCAGCCCGAAAGGTTATTATATTATAACACTATATCATCGGATATTGTTATTTATACCATTACAATTACAATTGATATGTTGTATGAAGATAATTAAAACAACTGTTATATTAAATAGAGCAATATTAGGTCCCGCCATTTGCAAGCAAGTTTTGTTTTTAATAAGCGAGGCCCGTTATGTCATTTGATAATTGACATTCATTAATACTTATAAAAAAAATACCATATGCTATTTAAGAATACCATAGCTGTGGAAATAAAATGTCATTTGTAATTTAAATGTATGTAACACACTATGCCAGGTGCATAGTGTGTTACTAAGAGCCACAAATAACTAACTTTAAAGCAATTGGTATGCTGTTCAAAATTAAATTTACAGGACGAAAAATCGTTAAATTTTCATCATAAAACTCATATACAAAAAAAAATGTTAATGCCGTTGCATTTCTGTGCCAGTTCTGTTCATGTAGGTATTGATCAGACTTCAGTGAGGGCCTGATCGAATTTACTGTCCATTTATTTTTCCCAGAACTCGAACCTACGCCGTCTCTTTTTTTATATAACTTAAAAATTGAGCCACGAATTATTGAAAACAATTCGTTTTATTAAGTTTCGTTTATGTTAGACAAAATTAAAGCAACTATTTATTTATGTAAACAAAAGTTTATTACACTAATATAATATATACTAATATTATAAAGCTGAAGAATTTGTTTCTTTTGTTTGAACTGGGGATTTACTAGGTCGAACTGTTTTTTTGTGTGTCGTTTAGATCATTAGGGAATGTAAGTATTAGGCATTTTATCTTGGAAGGTTCCGTGGTGTGCGCTACGAAAACGGTTTAAGGTACCCAAAAAATATATAAAGAAGCAATATTTTTCAATAAGTTATACGAAGAAAGGCCGGGACAGTGTATGCATTTCTTTCAAGATTAACTCCCAAGTACCTGTGAATAAAATTTGGTCGAATGTCATATGCACTATAAAAAGCACTTTTACGAGGTCAGTAAGATAATAAACAAGAGTATTCGTAGAGGGTTTAAGCAAGAATTTATTAAATGTAACCTAAAAACTTGTACATCAACTAAATTAATGTTACTTAAGGCTAAGTTATGGTGACACCATGACTATTTGCTGGCGTTTGCCGAGTCACGCACCAAAAGGCTGACTAACAAAACCCTTCTTTTCTACCATTGAGGAATTACGTAATCACCCCTCGTCCTTTATCCTTGCTGTGACGTCACAAGTCCCAAGTCACCTCGCTACGTGACATCTTTGCTAATCACATTTTATATCACTAGATGGCTCTAGTTCACCTTGTTTGTTTACCTTCACTTGAAAATCGTAATGGTTTCTTGTCTAAGATCTGAATCATGTCGTAGTTAAGGTCTATGATAATAGGCTATTCTAATCTTGGCACATTTTTAAAAACAAAACAATTGTAAACAATACCCTTGATGTAGTTGTTTAGATTTATTAACTAAACTAAGTTCTACTACTGCTAACTAGGTACTCTTCGTAGTTAGGGATTTCCTATGTTTTGATAGGTGATTTCATTTACCTTTAACTACCTTATAAACCTAAATACCATTACTATATACTATATCTTTACTTTATGCTGCACTATTTTCTTTTTAATGACAAATTGGATTGATTTGTTTGAAGCTATAATAATCTTAATAAGACGCTATTTCTGAAAAAAACACCAGTTTTAGAGTAATGTTTGGATTAATTGAATGGTAGGTAAAATACCCCAGCCATATAACATCTAAATAAGATATGTGTTGTCGACCGATTTTGGCCCCGAACCCCCGATTAAGCTTCACTTCATTTTTCATCTGTGTTCGTGACCCGAACAGTATTTCGATACGTCCTACGACTCCTTCAATACCCAGACTTCTGGAAAATCCTAAATATTTCAGATAAATTATAAACTGATTAAAAATATTTTGGACTTGTTGGGGATCGAATCCACGACCCCCGTTGATTGCCATACATTGCTACCATTACATCGACGAGTTCGTCAAAATATATATTATAAATAAGCAATATAGAAATTAAAATAACTAGGTATTAAGTTTACATAATGCAAAAACCCCACGAAGGTTAGATCGATGTGTCATTTTAGTGACCTCAATTCAATTTTCAATATCAAAAATCCCCATACTGTAAGGCCGACAATAACCCCAGTCAGCCCTGTACATCCGTGCTCTTCATTTTAATGGCTCGTTTAAGATGCGCGGGAGTCGCCAATGAGGGCCCTGACAGCTGACCCTGGTCGATATCTCTGGGTCACACTCACCTTGGACAAACAATGCTCTGTACGTAACGTAAATGACAATAAGATTATTTTGATCATAGCGATGAACAATTAGAAACTATCAAAAAACAAATGTCAAATGCGATCTCTTATAATCTTATAATCAGTGTAATCTAACACTTTTTTGTTTGTTTCGAATACTTTGCAGCAGTGATCACGAGTTCCCCGTGAATGATTTTCAAATAAGTTTAACTAATATATATCGCATTTTAACCGAAAGTAAAGTAGAGTGTTTATTTTAAAGTTTGCATCTATCACACACATGCTTCAAAAGTCTAAAATAAAAGCAATTTTTTGTATTATTTTGAAAATAAATTATAATTCATTGTCTTTGAGTTTTTACACCTTACCAAAGATTAAAAACCATTAACATAGTGCGTTCTAAAGGAAATTATGTAATTACAGCACACAAAAGCAGGTGATTTGGGAAACTAAAGTACTTATTTTAATTCCAGAGTTCATATTTTTTAATATTAACGTTTGTTTGTACAGGGACGCATCGATAAGAAACATATAATTAAACTGAACGGGTCAACGCTTATTAATTCTATAAATCCTTCAACATATGTGGTTATTTTCGATAATTTTACCACATTGTTACTAATTAGCACTATCTCGAACCCATGGCGTAATGGGACCGATAATGGTTTATGGTAAATACATTTATGGCGGCGATATTTATGCCTAATTAAATGTTAAAACGCAGTGGCCTTTGTTACGCAATATTGTTCGTCCAAAGCTTAGAACTTTGTTTATACTAAGGTCTTCTAGCTCCTTTATTTTTTGAGCGAGATAAAAATGTGCATGAAACTACTATTGTTTCTACTAGCTGTAGCGGTTTTGGACTCGTTCTAGCAAGTTAATTTTAATAGATAGGCATTTACTGTGTAGGAATTATTCTTTCATATATATTTCTTAGGTATCTTGAACCGTTTTCGCAGCGCACGTAACGGGAGCTCTCAAAAGATATTTTATTGCTCGTATCGTAGTGTTATAGTCTCGTAGTGTAGTCTAAATCGAAGGCCTCGGGGA